AATCATTTGGAGGTAGGTGTCCTAGTTTTAATTTTTTTTTATTTTCTTTTGTTATTATCTTCTTCTACTCCTTTCTTTCATTAGAATGTTTATTTGGTCAGTTTTGTTCTATGATTTTTTTAGTTTTTTTTATTCTCGAATTAATAGATTATTTGTTGATTTCATTTGGTTTTTGTTTTGTTGATCAGTAGTTTAAACTCGCATAATAGTAGTTCTTGAATTGATTCATGCTAATTTCGATGAAAGATTGAAATTGTTTCATTTTTTTTCCAGTATTGAGAGCTATTAGGCAGTCTGCTGGTAGATTTTGTTTGTATAAAGATTGAATAGCCTTAAATGATGTGAATTGGGTTCAGCATTGGTCCATGAATTTCAAATTTAAAAGCAGAAACTTTAAGATAACAGTGGGAATTATTTAAGTGTTTACCTACTTAGGAAGATTCCATAATGGTAGGGTTTAGTATTTGCACTACTGAACTAATAAAAGAAAAAGGTACTAAGTAGTGAATGAATTAAAAAATGAAATGGGGACTGGTAATGGCTGGCTTAATGCCATTTTAGGAGCTGGAAATCAGAGAACATGGGGGTGTGATTAAAAGGCTAAAAATACAGGTGTAAAAGGATATACAGTATGGAAAAGGGAGGGACAAGATTAAAAGAAGACAGAACCAAGAATATAGGCTGAAGTTTTTAAGAGTTGAGAGGAAGACATAGAGGGAATACACTAAAAATACAGACAAGAGTCTAGGAATATACCTCTTAGAAAACACAAGAGACTGGAAGATAACTTCATAGATAAAATACCTTCAGAAGATACAAAAGGCTACAAACTTCTTATTTCTTTTATTTTTCCGATTTTCTCAATCTCAAATTGGCTGAAGCAATCTCTGAATCATTGAGGAACTTGTTTTCTTTTGAAAAGTCTGGGTTGAATTCTACAATAGAGTTACTGTTTCATTGGTTTATGAGTTGATTTCATTGGGATTTTGAGTTGAATCTGGGCTGTTCTTTTGCTGTTGTTGATTTGTGCGCTTAATATTGCTGATTCCTCACTCTTCCCTTTGCCTTTTCAATTCCAGGTACTTTCTTAGCCTTGAGTAGTAAGTGATTGTAGAAACATGTAAATTCAAGGATTGGTTGAATACATGCTGCTTTGAGCTTAACTCCTTTTGATCCCCCTGTTACTTTAGTGTTCTGCAATAGATATGTAATTTTACCTGTTGTTCAAGTTATTCATCCACACATTTAAGGCTATGTATAATCAATAGCCATAGGCATAAGCAGCTGGATATGTATGCTTTAAATGTCCTTTGGAACGATTCTTTGAAACTCATGAAAAACCAGAACTTAACCTACTGGGAATTATCATAGTCAGGTTTATTCAATTCAGCATAGTTGTGTTAAAATGATTCAGTATTTATCTAGGAATATGTTTGGTTGCTTGAATACATGGTTTAAGTCCTACAAGTTTGTTCACGTGAGGTTTAAGTAAGGTTTAAACATCGATTTTGCAAGTTAACTTAAGGCCTTAGAAGATTAAGGTTGTATTCTGTATAGTTCTTCAAAGAACTGGATCCTTAATTTTTTCTTCCTTCGAAATCATGGCATTGTTTGTATGTTGGTAATTTTGAGACTAGCTACTTGGATTCATTCTGAATTTGTTTGCTGTATAGCCTTCACCTGAGCACGATACGGACTCGATGTTGAGTCTCCTTGATAGTGGTTCTGAGGCTTTAGGGAATTTGGGCCTTCTGCTTGGGCTCAACTTGGGCCCATGGCCTTTAAAATTAATGGGAAATGAACGTGGTAGGCCTTGCCACATGTGCTTTTTATTTGCTTCAAAACAGGGCTCTTCGCTGTTAGTCGGGGCTGGTCTAATTCTGCTTTAAGACTGGCCCAGTTCCCTAATATTACAAATTAATTGTGGTTAGTTTTCTTTAAAATGGGTTGTCATACCAGTTGAATAAATAACTATGACCCTTTAACTTGGTGGTTGTTATGTGATGGTGATTTGTAGAAGCCTTGCAAGCTCTTTACTTAAGTAATTGGGTTTTAAGAGTAAATTAGTGGAGGTGTGCTACATCGGACAACAACAATAGTTTATGTCCCTCCAAATTTAACTTAGATTTTTTTAGAGTAAATCGAGATGTGCCATGTTGAACAAAAGGATAATTGTGTGGCCCTCGTATTAACTTTATAACCTAGATATTAAGAATAATTAATATTCGTAGAAAAGCCTTTAGGGCCGTTTAAAACACAATTGTGGTTATGAATACGTCCGCGTAACATAATTGCGATTCTAAAAACAAAATCGGAGTATGCGTTCGCGCAACTTCGGCCCAAACTTTCATAGTAATAATAAAGCGTTATTAATTGTGGACACGTTCGCGTGATATGATTTTTGACGCGCCAAACAAGCGGGTATACGTACGCGTAACCCGTTCCAAGATAATTTTTCTTAATTAATAGCGATAAAATAAGTAAATGAACATAGGTTCCAAAATCAGTAATTAAATAATTTTATAAGCCAAGTATGATCAAAGCGACCGTGCTAGAACCACGAAACTCGGGAGTGCCTAACACCTTCTCCCGGGTTAATAGAATTCCTTACCCGGATTTCTGTGATCGCAGACGTAAATAGAGTCAATCTTTTCCTCGATTCGGGATTTGACCCGGTGACTTGGGACACCATAAATCTCCCAAGTGGCGACTCTGAATTTTTAATAAATAAATAATCCCGTTTCGATTGTCCTTTAAATTGGAAAAACTCCCTTATACTCCTTCCGGGGGTGTAGGAAAAAGGAGGTGTGACAATACATATCAAAAAATAGAAGATTGAATATACTGATTTTGTGAAAGTTATTGTGATTTTTGATCTTGATGTGCAGACTAACATTGTCTTATTATTGGTTAATATGTCATTGACTTATACAGAAGAATTATTGAAACCAAAATCCTCTCAGGAAATATTCACAACCATACAAACGTAAAGGGATGAAATACAACAGAGCAAACACATGCTTATTTTGACGCCCATGAAGTGTTCGAAAAAAGATTCTATAGGTTGACCTTCCCCGTAGAATCATGAAATGCTGCTATTTACTCAACAAATGCCGGTTTGAAATCTTTTTGAAATACCAACTATGCCTTCTTGAATATATTTGTAATGTTAAATTTTAGACTCTTTCAATTTAACACTCTTAAACAGGAAATTATAGAAACTAATATGTTGTGATCGTTCACTTCTACAATCAACATTTACAGTTTCACTTTCACTTCGGGCCATTAACTTTTCCTTTTTGGATAATAGATATTACTCAGACCAACAAAAAGGCGTGAAAGATTCAGATTCAGCTTTCTCCATTGGTATTTGAGGTACACTTCAAAGATTCTTAACTACTATGATCATTTTCACGCAATCGATGCAGAGGGTGTAAAGATTCTGAAATACTACAATTTTTACAAAATTGATATCTAAGGGTGTCTGATATGGAATGCAAAGAGCGTTGTTTTGCTGATATTTTAATTAATTGTGAACAAAGTTCGACAACAATATCCACAGAAGTTGATCATAATATAGTGATATGGAGTTTAGACTATATAAGTTTTCCTATGCAGTGTTAGATATTGGTATTGGATAGTGCTTCAACTTAAGGGTGTTAAACGGCCCAGGTTGACCCGGTTCCAGACCGGCCCAGACCGGTAGAACTCGGAACCGGCCCGGACCGGTAAGAGGGGGCTGGGCTGGGCTGGATAGGGGGGTTGGGGGGTTGGTCCGGTTTAGTTCTTTGAAACGGGTAGCCGGCCCGGTTGAACCCGGAAGAGTGAACAGTAACTCTTACCGGGTTAACCGGCCAGGTTCAAACGGCTACTTTTTTTTTGTTTTTTTTTAATTTTCGAAATCTGTGGGCCCCACAGACCGTTGGCAACGGTCAGACATCCATATTGGTCCGTTGGCTAATGGAAATATTGCATAAATAGCCCCCTTTTTTTTTTTTTAATTTTTAGCCCTTTTTCAATTTACAAAACTAACCTTCTCTAAAACTATAAATACCCCCTCCCCCTCTTCTTCATTTCTTCACTTAATACTCATTTCTCAATCTCAATTTCTCTCATTCTCCAATTTGCAAAACTTCAAGTCTCAATCTCAAATTCTCAATTCTCAAATCTCAAGTTAAATCATGCCTCGTGCTCTAGAGTGCGCTCATATGTTTGACAATACTTTGAGGTGGTAGAAGAAAATGAAGAAGGTCAGAAATTTAAGTGCAAGAACTGTGGTCAAGTCTTAAAATTTCGTTCAGAGTGTGGCACAGGCAGTTTATGGAGGCATATAAAGTATTGTCTTGAGCGTCCTCCGAAAATTCGTATTTAAGATTTTTCGACAATTTGTGTTATTTTAAAATTATTAGACGTATTTATGCTTAATGTTTTAGTTTGTTAGATTAATTTGAAGTATTATTAATTTATTATGCATGAAAATTTAGTTTTACTATTTTTTGTTAATTTACTTTTTAAATGCAAACTTTAATTTTGAATTTTGAAATAAATGTAGTACTTGCAATTTATAAGTGCAATTTTTTCCCATCTTCCTTGTATTCTTTAAATTAATACAAAGTATTAATATAATTTACAATAGTTATACAAAACACAAAAAAAAAAAAAAAATTAAAAATTACACTAAACCCGGTCCGGCCCGGCCCCTCAATCGGTAACCCTTACGGTTCAATTTTTACCCGGATGAACCTGAACCCGTTAAACCCGTTAAGAACCAACCCGGAACCGGTCCGGACCGTAACCCGTACGGGTCCAAAAAATAGCGGCCCGGCCCGATCCGGCCCACCCGTTAAACACCTTTACTTCAACTTCCTGTTACTTTTTAGTTTCATTATGAAGTACAAGAATGTTGTTTTACTGATATTTAAAATGGTAACAATGTTTGACAACACTATCTATAAAAGTTAATTATAGTATAGTGATATGGAGCTTAGACTTGATTGAAAGAAGCTTCCTTAACGAGAAATTGATAAACAAAAATAGTTATGGTTTATTAACTTGGGAATGAATGAGTTAACAATAAAAACTTATCTTTAATAGTTTTTTGTCGTTTTTCTTTGTAGACATTGCTTCTCCTATTGTTTACATACAAACCCGGTTCTCTCCTCTTCACCAATTATCACCTCTGCATCTATTTTAGTAACCCTATTCAGAAAATGAAGCGGAATATCAAATTTCAAGTCACTATTTGTTTGTTTTATATCTTCGGTTTGTTGAATCAGTGTTGCGTTGCGGTAAAGAGATGTAAACAATCGGATCTATGTTGTGTGACGACCCAAAGGGGTCATCACATGTATTCCTACTTCCTCTGTACTTCTGAGGCCCTGGAAACCTCACTTGGGGATTGCCTCGACTTGTGTGCGCAGTCCGGGCGCGTAACCGGAAAGTTTACATGTGAATTTGTGAGAAAAATAATAAAATTTGATGTTTTAAATTGATCGAGTTTGACTTTGGTCAACGTTTTGGACAAACGGACCCGGACTCGTGGTGCGACAGTCCCGGAGGGTCCGTAGGAAACTTTGGGACTTGGGTGTGTGCCCGGAACCAAATTCCGAGGTTCCAAGTGAATTATTGTGTGAAATTATTTTCTGAAAATAATTAAAGAATTTGAAAGTGTTATTTGTTTAGAAGACTGTGCTGTTGGGCTCGTATTTTGGTTCCGACGCCCGGCACAAGTCTTAAATATGATTTAAGCAATTGCTGTAAAGTTTGGTTAGATTTGGACGTCGTTTGACGTGTTTTGGACAAAACCTCTAAACTTGATGTCTTATGAAAATTGGGAGGAAATCATGGGTCTTGAGGCCTAATTTGATGATTTTGATGTTGTTTTGGTGATTGTATCGCACGGATGAGTTCGTAGGATGTTATTGAGTTAGTCTGTATGCTTAGTTTGGAGCCCCGAGGGCTCGGGTGAGTTTTGAGTAGGTCCCGGGAGGCCTTAGGCTTAAAGTAACAGATGTTGTAGTGTTACAGGCCCAAGCGCGGCCGCGGTCATTCCCGCGCGGTCCGCGCTGGAAGCCACGCGGCCGCGGTGCAGTCCGCGCGGTCCGCATGGCCAGATTCAGAGGGGTCCTCAGCCTTGGTTTGACCAGCGCGGCCGCGCACCAAGTTCGTGCGGTCCGCGCTGGGAGATTCAGAGAAGGCCCCAGGTGCAAGACACCAGCGCGGCCGCGCACCAAAATCGTGCGGTCCGCGCTGGGTAGGTTCAGAGAGTTGTTTTCCCTCCCTTCCTCGGCGAGGCCGCGGGGCATTTTTGCACGGTCCGCGCCAGTCCTTCAGCAAAGTATATAAATCTGAGATTTTCAGCCATTTTGCACTTTTTCAAAACCCAAAACATAAGAGGAGATTTTCCAAACGATTTTTCTCCTTCAAAACGATTGGTAAGTGATTTCTAACTTATTTTCCTTGCTTCTTAACATCTTTAAACATAATTTCAACTTCAAAACAAAGATTTTAATGGGGGAATTTGGGAATTTAGGGTAGAACTAGGGTTTCAAAATTTGGGGGTTTTGGACCTCAATTTGAGGTCCGATTCCAAAATAACTTATATATCTGAGTTCATGGGGAAATGGGTAGTCGGGTTTTGGTTCGAACCTCGGGTTTTGACCACGTGGGTCCGGGGGCATTTTGTGGATTTTTTAACAAACTTTGGGAAATTCACTTTTCATGCATTCAAATTTATTAGATTAGCCTTTGTTGATACACTCAAGTAATTTGTGACTAGATTCGAGCGGTTAGGTGGTGAATTCGAAGGGTAAAGCTATACTAGAGGATTGAGTTGAGTTTGGAGCATTTGAGGTAAGTGTTTGTTCTAACTTTGGCTTGAGGGAATAGGATTAGGATGTTATTTGCTACTTGCTAAATGTGGAGTACGGTGTATAGGCATGGTGACGGTTATCTATGCACCGGAGTCTAGCATGACCGTGAGTCTTAATTGCTTTTAATTCGAATGATGTGACACAACTTCCTTGCTTAATTGATAAATTTCATATAATGTGAACGGTTGAGGAAGAATTGTGATTGGTATATTTTGGAGCGTTGGCTCGGACAAGAATGGGATAGTTGAGAAAGAAGTGATTTAAAGGAGGATGTGTTGTGATTATTCCCTTGCCGGGACGCGTAGACTATTGTTATGTACTCTCCCTTGCCGGGATATTTGGGCTGTTAGTTGTTCCCTTGCCGGGTTAAAGTGATATGTTGTCGAATTCCCCTAATGGGGCCTTCTTTACAAAGTCAGATATTTGAACTATGA